CCCCCGGCCCCGCCCCCTCCGGCCGTCTCCGGTGCTCAGTCTGGGTTTCTTGTTTGGGGGGTCGTCGTCATCGTTGTCCTGGGAGGGGCTCCAGTCTGCAGAGGCGTCTCCGAAGTCCTTCACGCTGGAGTCTGAGTCCTCCTGGAGTAAATCTTCACTTGCAGGCGTAGCAGAGGCTCCTCTTCCTCGCCCTCTGCCCCGCCCCCTGGGCCTGCCCCTCCCCCTGTAGCTCTGGACTTTAGGGGTCCCGTCAGCGGAGCCCCCCTGCTCCACCTGATCGCCACTGAAACTCTTGGGTTTCCTGCCCCTCTTCCTCCCCTGGCCCCGGCCCACGCTCCTCGGKGTGTAGTCTTCATCGCTTCTGTCTGCAGACTCCGCCCCCTCATCTCGGGGCTCGGACTCGGGCTCTTTGCCCTCCTGCTCCGCGGCGTGCCAGACMGCGGTGATTGACAGGGGGAGGGGGGAGGAGGGGCTGCCGGGGCTAGGAGGGGAGCCCCCGGCTTCTTTGTCCACCTCAGAACGAGACGTATCGCTGGGCTCGGACCACTGAGGACCCTCCTCCAGATACTTTGTTGCCTCGGACATTCCCAGGAAGACAGCAGCTCGCCGCACAGCGACCTGTCTGGTGCTGAAAGCAGAGAAAAACATTTAAAACTTCCAGAAAAACACGTCACCCTTACAGAAAAACACGTCACCATTACAGAAAAACACGTCACCCTTACAGAAAAACACGTCACCATTACAGAAAAACATGTCAACCTTACAGAAAAACACGTCACCCTTACAGAAAAACACGTCAACCTTACAGAAAAACACGTCACCCTTACAGAAAAACACGTCACCCTTACAGAAAAACCCTCTTTTCAATCCAAAACAACCCAAAGCTGTGAGTAACGCTGCGAGCTCACCTGCTCAGGTTCATCTGACCCGTGTAAACAAACTCCAGCAGTTTCTCCAGGGAGTAGCGGCTGACCTTCTCAGGGTCTAGGTTGGTGACTTCCTCCCCCTTCTCGGCCTGCGCAGAGAAATACTCGCTGAAGGCGGCCAGAATGTTGCGGTGAGCTCTGAACTCTACGTCCTTCACCATGATGGTGATGTCACACAGGAAGTCCATCTCCCGCTGCTGATGGAGGCGCTGCAGCAGCAGCCGGCCGTGGTTGGCGAAATGAGCCATGGTTGCTGCTGGGAGGGGAGGGAGAGGACCGCGGTCTAAATAAACTCAAACTAGTGTCAAATAAAACTAGATAAATCTGAAGGAACAACCTCATATCTTAATTATATAAAAGACATCTAAAAAGCTAAAGTATCTATTTATCATTTTAATATTTATTGTTGTGTAGTGTATTTGTAGAAGCAGCTTTGTTTGTGATGTCCACAACAAGTTTCCCCTTGGGGATATTTAAGTATCCATCTATGTATATATCTGCAGAAATTAAGGGCTTTATCTCAACATACAGGTTATTAAATTAGTTTTGTTTAATAGTAGGGCTGCCACGATTAGTCGCCTAGTCACAATTATGTCAACTATTAAAATCACCAATGACTAATTTAATAATAGATGCATCATTTTCTTCTAACTATGTATTTTTTTTATATTAGTCGACTATAAAAGTAATTGTTTGTGGCAGCCCTAACTACCACTACTGTGCATGTGTGTCAAGGACAGAAAGGCAGACGTGGCAGTAGATGGTGCCGCAGCAGTTTGGAGAGAAAAACAAAGTTAGAAAAAAAGGACATGTCAACGATTAAATTAGTCGACAATTTTAATAGTCGAGAATAATCGTGACCAGTCGACTAATCGTGTCAGCCCTATTTAGATTTAACATACGGTAATTTATGCTGCTCTCATATTTAATAGGTAGTAGGTGCTTACCCTATATTTACTTGGTATCATCAACCAAAATGTGCAGTATCACACACCACACTGCTTTATAAGTACACAGTAGAATGTTTTGCTTGGAAAACTTTGTAAAAATAGTATCTGTGTTTTTTAGTTGAGGTTTAAAAAGGTTCAGTCAAGCTGGAAGTTGTTCAGCAAAACTTCAGTTGGAAGAAAATAGTTGATTGGGAACAAAGCAAAGCATTTTTCCCATCAATGAGTCGTAAGTGATATACTCTGTACACTATATTATGTATTTTATGTACTATATATATG